ACATCTGAGGGGATACCATCCAATCCAGGTGCTTTGCCACTGGCTGTTGTCTTTAGAGCTTTCTTTACTTCCTCCATACTGATCTCCTCACACAGCTCATTTCCTGTGGGTTTCATTATCATGCTATGACATGCATCTGGATGTGCAGATCCTTTTTGATTCAATAGGTTACTGAAGTGTGCCTTCCATCTAGYTTTGATGTCTTGGAGGTCTGTGAGTAGCTTTCCATCCACAGATTTCACTGGAGATACGACATTACATTTGGGTCCATAGATGATTTTTAACCCAGCAAACAAGCCACGATAATCATGGTTGTCAGCAATAAAATGTAGTTCTTCAGCTTTTCTTTGCCACCAATTGTTCTTAAGGTTTCTCACTTCCCGTTGAACTTTTGACTTTATTACAGCAAGTGCGTTCTTGCTCTTCTCAGAGTTCTCCCGTAGATGACAGATATACTTGATCCTCTTCTCTTCCAAGAGCTTCTCAATTTCATYCCCATGTTCCCAAAACCAGTCGGGGGTCTTTCTGTTGGGATGGCCTAGAGTTTTTTCACTAGCCGAGAACACTGCTTCTTTCAGGGCTTTCCAGTGCTGCTCAATATCCTCTTCCYCAGTTAGCTGTATACTCTCCAAAGCATTACTTATCGCTCTTGTCAGTTCTTGGCAGTGCTCAGTATCTTTCAGCTTGCCAATGTCCAGTTTCTTAGCCTTGGTACTTGCAGGGGTTTTTCTTCGAGGCTGAGTGWTCTTCATTCTGAGTTGACAGCGCACCAGGTAGTGATCAGTGGAACATTCTGGACCACGCATTGCTTTTGTGCACATTACATCTGCCAGGTCTGATTTTCTCGTGAGGACATAATCAAGCAAGTGGTAGTGACCCGAACGAGGGTGTCTCCAGGTAAAAAAGTTCTTATCGGGTTGGTAGAAGAACGTGTTGGTAATGCTGAGCTCATGTTGGGCACAGAAGTTTAGTAGGAGGTCCCCATTAGAGTTCTTTTTCTTCTTGCCAAACTTGCCAATTATGTCCGAGTAGGTTTTCCAGTCCGTTCCAACACGAGCGTTGAAATCACCTAGTATTACAAGCTTGTCTTCTTNAGTTCGGTGGTGGCTAAAGTTCATTATCAAAAGCGACGATCCCGCGATGTTGCAACGAAGGCTCACGAATGCATGAAAAAATTGCATGGTGAAAAGGGCTCTCAGGTGGATGGCGACGTTTCCTCCAGATTGAGCTCGGACAGCTCGGCTTCTGCACGTGATAGAGCTTCGCCGACTAAAGATGGAATGCAAAATGAGAAAAACAAGACAAAGTGTCAAGATCATCCAACTCCACCTGGGGATTGCCGCAAAAGGAAAATTCTACTTTTTAGTCCGAAAGAAGACGAACAATTGAAAAGTGGCATAAAAAAACATGGCTTTGGACAGTGGTCTGCCATTTTAAAAGATTATGAATACAATTTCCAGACAGGCAGAACAGCGAATTCGTTGCTGAACAGAGCTGTGCGAAAATTCCCCCAGGTTAAAAAAACGTAATGTACACTTTATCTCATAAGATTTATTTATGAMAGTTATAAATCAAAGTACATACAGTTAAACAGGTTTAAACTTTAATGTAACATTATAATGTAATCACAAATTCCATATGCATGGATACCAATTTCTACGCACAAATCTATTGCAAAAACCAAACTTACGTAATTAAGGTGCTGATAATAAGCCAGCCCATGAAAAATCAAAATTATTAAGTGATAATGAGGTCGAGTCAAGTGAGATCAATATAGAAAAACAGAAATAGAAAAAAACAGAAAAACAGAAATAATGAGGCATAAGCTACTTATTTCTTGGCTGATTGGCTGAAGTATTTTTCCAGGGTATTTCCCTGTCTAGCTCTGTTTTTCTTTGAAGTTTGAGACTTCTGAGATGAAGATTTCCTCTTTGTAGGATTTTCTCTAGGTGTTATGAACATATCCTCTTCGTCACTACTTTCCTGTCTGCTTCTCTGGTGCTGGCTGGTGCTCTGAAAAGGCGGCAAGCAGATTAGAGTATCAACCAGATCTTCTTCTGACTCTTGCAGGATATTGAGTTCCCTCAGCAATTTTCTTCTTTCTGTGAGGGCTTCCTTGATACGAGAAGTGCCCATTTTAGAATGGTGTAGTTTAAGCTTGTTTTGCATCACCTCCAGCATTCCTTCAATTCCACGCAAAGTGCTTTGGTCTTTAACTGTGGCTCTTTGCCTAACCAGGTCGTAGAGCTTCAGCTCGGTGTTCTTGACCCACTTGCTTTGATAAACTTTCCTGGCAGTCTCTCTGCGGTCACTGTTTGCCTTTTCCTGTTGTCGGCGCTCGTACTCTTCGAGTTTGGCCGCAATTGGTGTCGGGTAGGGAATATTTGGGTTAGAAATATCTGTCGTCAGCTCCAGTTCTTGCGTAGAAACGCCCCTTGCCTTCAGAAATTGCTCAGTGTGTCGCTTCCGTTCTTCTAATCTCTTTTGTTCTTCGGCCAACAGCTTTTTCTCGTTTAGAATGAGCTCACTGATCTGCCGGTATNGCTGACAAATCATGTTTATTTTTTTAAAGCGTAAAGAAAAACTTAACATAGATGATAACATAACTTAACATAGATGATAACATAACTATTATAGAATTTAACGTTGACTGCTGAAGAAGCTAGTTACTTTTGTCTGTCTCTCTTTCTTCTGGCAGATCTTCCGCCTCTTTCTTCCCTTTTGCGGTGTGTGGGCTGGCACCTGTGTAAGTGCCTTTCGCACGGGACTTGTGTGAGTCTCTTCGGACGTTTTTAGTTTGAATGAAGGCGTTGCTGGTGGTGTAACAAAATGCTCGTCGTCGTCGTCCTCTTCCTCTTCATCGCCAGTGCTGTCGTTTTCTGGCCAAACCAGCGGCGAGTGCAAATCAATAATCGTAGTTGCCATAGATACTCTTACTAGTCCCAACTCCAAACATAGCTTTCGTCTTTCGTTTATTGCCTCCTTTAAGTTAATGGAACCTTAATTATACAAAAACAATACATTTAGTTAGTAAAGATGTAGAAGGGATGGAGCGCATAATAAAGGTTATTTGAATAGTTACCGTGGGTTCGATGATGCATTAGAAGCTTGTTGCTGATTAAAGASACTAGTGCTTTTAGAGCACCTTTCTTATATTCATCCTTGGTGGTATGGATTTCTTTGACCAGCTCCATCATTTTAACTTMTTGACTTCGGATCCATRGGTTSTAGAACGCTATCTGSATTTTTCGGGAGTTTTCTTTTTTTTGCTGTTCCTATAAATTACAGCATCCATATTAGATGAATGGAATACATTGAAACACTTTAGATTATTAAAGCTAATGCTTACCTGATTGTCTTCTTGACGTTTTTTTTTTTACTGCCTCTTTCCACTTCTGCTCTAGATCTGGCGGAAGTGGCGCTTCTGGGTCAGTAATTCTTCTGGAGGCTTCCTGTTCCTCGACRACTCCCATCTGAACAAGTCTGCGCCTGAAGAGTTCAAGTTTTTGCTGAGCTTCTTTCTCGATGGCGTTTTTCAACTGCTCTTTTTCAGTGTCGATTTGCACAATCATTTGGTCCACCATACGGGCTTTTCCAAGGTTTGCTTCGGCAATACACTGCTCCTTCGCGACCTTCAAAGCAGCAGAATTTTCACAGAGTTGAGTGTCTTGAATTACGTCTTCTTGCCCTTCCCCTTCTTCTTCTCCTTCTTCTTCTTCAGAATCTTCCACTTCTTCTTTGTCGGACTCTTCGTCTTCCGTTTCCTCGTTGTCAGTGCTGTTTCTTCGACCTTGGGCATCTCCGCTCGACTGTGGCTGATCCTCCATTTCTAAGTTGAAGATGTCCATCCTTTCCAAAGTACTCAGGCCTTCTCGGTCGACGTCGTCTTCTCCTTCCTCGACGTTTTCTTGGCTTAGCTGATGCCGTTTTGACACGTTTGATGCCCAAGTGATGCAATGCATTGGATGATTTTTTATCCAGCGGGCGGCCTCTGGAACAACTGCAGGCAAGGGCTTGAAAAAGTATTTCGTCAAACGGTTATTCATGGCCTGATTGTCTTCTTGGCTTCCAAAGTCCAGATCTTTTTGTGCCGTTATNTATCAACCAGATCTTCTTCTGACTCTTGCAGGATATTGAGTTCCCTCAGCAATTTTCTTCTTTCTGTGAGGGCTTCCTTGATACGAGAAGTGCCCATTTTAGAATGGTGTAGTTTAAGCTTGTTTTGCATCACCTCCRGCATTCCTTCAATTCCACGCAAAGTGCTTTGGTCTTTAACTGTGGCTCTTTGCCTAACCAGGTCGTAGAGCTTCAGCTCGGTGTTCTTGACMCACTTGCTTTGATAAACTTTCCTGGCAGTCTCTCTGCGGTCACTGTTTGCCTTTTCCTGTTGTCGGCGCTCGTACTCTTCGAGTTTGGCYGCAATTGGTGTCGGGTAGGGAATATYTGGGTTAGAAATATCTGTCGTYAGCYCCAGTTCTTRCGTAGAAACGCCCCTTGCCTTCAGAAATTGCTCAGTGTGTCGCTTCCGTTCTTCTAATCTCTTTTGTTCTTCGGCCAACAGCTTTTTCYCGTTTAGAATGAGCTCACTGATCTGCCGGTATCTCAGTGTACCCTGCTTGCACTTATCCACTTCTTCTAATTTTGACAATCTATCGGCGTCAGGTTTCTCAGTGACATCTTGAGAGTCCTCGTCAGATGATATATCATGTATGCTGGTGGTGGTGGCGTTGGCACAATGATCCTCGATTTCGTCACCAGAGCGCTGCTCTAGGAGGTCTGTAAGTTGCAAGGTCCGGAGCGCCTCTTTTTCGCTTTGGACTAATCCCTCGCCATCATCTGCTTGAGCAATTAAGCCTTCAACGTCTTCAGTTTCGCCATCGGTACTTACGGGACTCGCCTTTTGAGAGGCCCATACGATGCAAT